TGGAAGAGTTAAGAGAGGAATGCCAAGCAAGGGGGCTACCTACAGATGGCAAGAAGAAGGATCTTGAAGAGACCTTGAAAGAGCAAATGGGGGGAATTCAAAGGGTGCCAGCAATGATGTTCTTTGATCAGGAAACGACACTGGAAGAAATCAATTTGGGTAAAAATTTGAGTTTTTGCTACATAAAAGAAATGCTACCACAGTGACTAAAAGAATGAAATTTGGAGAAAATCGCTTGGTCTGTTTCACTGCATTAAGTGATGTTTAATTACATGTAGCATTAACATTTAAATGATAAGAGCTAGGAAATCAATATTTTTGTTAGTAAATGCAAGGGTACTAAGCAGTACAGATTTATACCCTGACACACTTAGAATGTGTGCAGTAAAACTGTTTCAAGCTCTGCAATAGCACACACTAGACACATGAGTTGATGAAAATACACAAACAATTATGAACTAAGTCATGGGTCTTGCCGTCAAATTAAAATGTACAAGTATATACACGAAATGTTAACTTTTATGGTTACTTTACAGGAAGCTATGAAGTCTTACCTACAGAACCTCTTCATGATGTGAAGGAGCATATCTGTAATGTCCTCACTGAACTTCCAGCCCACTTGGAGAGGGATGAAAGTGATTACTTTCAAAGCATCATCGAGTGCACCTTTGCTGATAAGGAGAAACTCCGTGGCTGTGATTATTGCCCAGCAGCTGTCATCGTGGCTCAGTATCTGAGAGGTAAGGTCAATTAATACTTAATATCCCTGATCTTAATTAACTCTGCACACATACTTTGGCTTTGAAAATTTTTATTTCCCCAGTCAGATCTCAAGATTCTACCCGAGCTGTCAGCAAATTTAAAGGTTCTCTTACAAAAGCTGACAGCAAATTGTACAGTCATGTAACTAGAAAAAGTGCAGTCTCAACCTCCATAAAATATAAAAATACAATTTTCATAAAATATATTTATACAATTTTCCGCATAATTGTTAAGATTGTGTTAATTCTCAACAGTAATTCTGACCTAAGTAATCATGATGCCTATTTTA